CATGGCGAAGCTGACTGCCCCGTTGACTGACCTGCTGAGGAAGGGGGTTGAGTACACGTGGGGGGAGAAAGAGCAAGCTGCCTTCTCGGCCCTCAAAACTATTTTGTGCTCCCCGCCCGTCCTTCACATTGCAGATCCCCACCGTCCGTTCGAGCTCGTCACCGACGCAAGTGACATCGCTGTGGGAGCAGTACTGTTGCAGGATTTCGAGAACGGCCTCCAGCCAATCGCGTACGAGTCCCGCAAGTTACACCCGCCCGAACGTAACTACCCGATACACGACCGCGAGATGCTAGCGATCGTGCACGCGTTCAAAGTTTGGGGATGTTACCTGACTGGCGCCGACGTGACAGTACGGACAGACCATCGCTCGCTACAGTATCTTCGCGCCCAACCGAATCTCAACCCACGACAGATTCGCTGGTTGGACTATCTCGAGTCCAATTTTCACTACACCGTTACGTACAAAAAGGGTGCATCCAACATCGCCGACGCTCTCACCCGCCCCACCGCCCAACTCCATGCCATCCTACTCGCCCAGACCAACCCGCTTTTAACTGGCCTATTCACCCACGGATACCGCACCGACACATTTTTCACGACCGGAAATTCACAGCAACTGGCAGAAGCAAAAGGAGTCTATTACGTAAAAGCAGGCACCAACCGCATTTGGGTACCCGCGTACTCACTACTGAGGGAGCTGCTACTACAGGAGGCACACGACGGGATTACCTCGGGACATTTCGGGGTAGAAAAAACGCGACAGCAACTGCAGCGGTACTATTACTGGCCGGAGCTGTTGACCGACGTACAGCAGCACGTGGGCTCGTGCCCGACGTGTCAGGTGATGAAGAGTTCAAGGAAGCGGAAGGCGGGTCAATTGCAGCCGATCCCACCGCCCGAACGCGCTTGGCAGCAAGTAACCATGGACTTCGTCACAGGGTTACCTTCGAACCCTGGGGGTAACGACGCGGTGATGGTCGTCGTGGATAGGCTGACGAAGATGGCACACTTCGCTGCGTGCAAAAAGTCGATCTCAGCCGAGGAGACCGCTCGCCTGTTCATCGCAGCCGTTGTTCGCCTGCACGGGATACCAGCAGCAATTATCAGCGACAGGGACACGAAATTTACCAGCAACTTCTGGAAGAACCTCTGGGAGCAGTTCGGGACCAGGCTACAGTTCAGTTCGTCGTACCACCCCGAGACCGACGGCCAAACGGAGCGGACGAATCAGACGATGGAGCAGTTGATTCGTGCCACGTGCGACGACCCCACGACCTGGGAGCAGCAGCTGCCGCTGATCGAGTTCGCGTACAACAACGCCACATCAGCCATGACGCAGCAGTCCCCGTTCTACCTGAACTATGGGCAAAACCCCACAGTGCCCATGACGCCGAGTCCGGACAACCCAACGCCACGCGCACAACAATTCGCCGAAATCCTGCAAGCTGCCCGCGCCAGAGCCGCCGAAGCAATAAAAAAGGCCAACGTCATCGCTAAGCGCAACGCTGATCGCCACCGCCGCCCCGTCACGTATCAATCTGGAGATTACGTGCTACTCGACACGCAAAATCTGCGACTGCCCGACGTACCAAAATTACGACCACGCTACTGTGGACCATTCCAAATCAGTCACATGATCACACCCGTCACCGCACACCTACTGTTGCCAACCGACTGGTACATCAGCCCTTCGTTCCACGTCAGCCTACTTCGCCCATACATCCCGACCACAAGTCAACTGCCGCGTCACCGGCCACAATCAATGACTCGCCCCGCATCAGAGCCGATCATCGAGCCCGAAAAAAATATAAGCCATCGGATCCGCCACCCCACGGGAATCAGGAGGATTGAATTCCTCGTTCGCTGGAAAGACCGCACGCCAACTGAAGATAGCTGGGTGCCCCTGAGCAACATCGAAAATCACCCTTCCCTGCAAGTGTACCTGAGGAGCCGGGGATTCCGCGATATACACGCACTCGCGTAGCGGAGGGGGCTTCTTGAGGGGGGGGGGTAGTGTAAGGAATTTTCTCGGCATTCCTTACGGAGCCGACTACATCGCGTACAGCAACAGCCGATTGTTCGCCCGTTACTGCTAACGGAACTTCGCCGACTTCGCGCGCACTGTTTTACCAAACCTCGCACTGCTGGCATGGCCGTATCGGCCTACGCTTCGGGACTAGCCCGAGCCTCGCTCCAGCGTAGCACTAGCAAGCTCGCACGCAACGCGTTACCGTTTTGCATGTTTCGCGTATAAATGTTCGCTCATGCCTTCGCTCACATTTTGTACTCGTTTGACACCTTAGTGCAATTCTCGCTACCTCGATTCATTGCACCCGTAACAGGTTGGGAGGGAAGAGAGCAAACCCACTGCTTGCTTTGTTTTTGGGTAATTACCTTCTGGGTAACCAACATCGAGGTCGCTGACGTCAAAAGTCACCTACGCGGCTCGATGGTACCCGTCAGATCATGCGCGCCCCTTCGTGGTACCCATCTTCCCTCCGTGGTACCCATCTTCCCTGCGTGGTACCAATCAACTGTGCTCTATTGAGCTTATAAACGTTAAGACAATATACTGAAAAACGCATTGAAACCCTTGCTGTACGGTGTACAGCTTGGTTGTAATGTTGCGGTACCAGTCAGGGAATTCGCGCACAGTTGATGGGTACCACGCAGGGAAGATGGGTACCACGGAGGGAAGATGGGTACCACGAAGGGGCGCGCATGATCTGACGGGTACCATCGAGCCACGTAGGTGACTTTGACGTCAGCGGGCTCGATGAGAGTTACCCAAAAAGTAATTACCCTTTTTTTGGGCATCCACTGTTGTCAGTGAGAACGTGTCTGTCTTATTCTGCATTCGTAGCCCTCTTATTCCGCTCCCTCTACAGCGCAGGTTCCAGAAGAATCGGTCGCTACCAACCACCAAGGTGTTTGTCTGCCCGACATTTTCTGGACGCTTGCCATCCCGCTCGTGTGTAGCGTGTGGTTCTTCAGAATTCTGCTGTACAGTACACAGGACTATATGTGCGCAAGCAACAGAACCCTTGTTTCCGCCTTGTTGCCCCGTCAAAATCCGAACATCCTACAGAATCCCTCTGCAACGTACGGAACCTTACCTCAACTCGATGAACCCCCGCCCCATGTTCTCCGTTGTTCCAGCTCGCAAACCGAACTCCTACCACACACACAACGCCGGTCTCAGCTCGTGTCTGTAGGGTTGACATGTCAGGTGAGAGCGTGTCAACCCAAAGCGCATTCAAATTAGAATGTCAAGCACTAGTGTCAGGTCAAAGCGCAGGTACGAACATCAGCGACGCAATTTCATTGGTTTGAGAATTTGTCATGGGTAGATCTGCTAGGCAACGAACAATTCAAAAGGACATATTATGTGCTTCGTGAGATCGGCACCTGCGACAATCTTGTCTCGTTTGTAGGTTTGTATGTGCCAATTTCAAAGTGTCCGACGATTTGTATTGGCTGGCAACCTGCAATTTCTGAACACTCTGCCAACAATGTTGGCAGAGTGTCAAAATGCCAAATTGACACTGCCCACTTCGACATGTCATCCCTACGGACACGACCTCACCTCCCCATAATATCATACCTCATCTTTGCGCCTTTTCCAACAGGAAACGCCTAGTCCTGGTTCTCCCATTTCCCTCTCACCCACACCTTTACCCGCCCGAACAGAGTCCCCTTCCGAACCAGTCAGCACTTACCCATCCAACCTTCGTCATCATGTCGCGCCTAGTTCCTCTGCGGCTCCACCTCCTCCTCCTTGCCGCCCTCGTCCTCCTCGTCGGTACGTACCTCCGCACTGCCCGCACTGTTCCACTACCGAGGTTACGCAAATTAGTTCGCTGTTCTGTTATCGAGCCTGCGCAAATGAGTTCGCTGTTCTGTAATCGAGTTTGCGCAAATGAGGGGAGCGCGGAGCAATGAGGGGAGCGCGGAGCAATGAGCGGAGCACGGACACGTTACATGTGCCTCCTCTCCTTTGTGCAACTCGAGGCTGACCGCGTTTCTTCTATTATCGGCGTGCTCTTCCTCGCGAGGCGCCAAAGTTTCATACTCCTCCTCACGCTTTCAAACTCCGCCCCCATTCGCCTGTCGTTCCTCAATTCGCCTCGCGCCCATATTTTTGCTCCTCCACGACCCACCTCCCCCTCCTTTTCCTCTACTCTTCCCCACCCCCTCCCTCCCTCCCCCCCCCCCCTTCCCTCCCCACACCCTCCTGTTCCTCCTCTCCCCTCCTTCCCTCTTTCCGCAATCCCCGACTTCCCCCGCCGCATACCCGCTGCTCACGCGTGCTCTTCGGCGACGACTTTCAACGTCATTCGCCGCTCGCTCCTCCTCAGGCGGCGCCGAGGCACAGGTATGCCTACGTGGACGGACTCGCATGCAACCTCGTGTGCATGCGAGGAGGCACATTCGCGACATGCGAGAACGTACGTTCGCGACATGCGAGAAGGCACATTCGCGACATGCGAGGAGGCACATTCGCGACATGCGAGAAGGCACATTCGCGACATGCGAGGAGGCACATTCGCGACATGCGAGAAGCCACATTCGCGACATGCGAGCAGGCAGATTCGCGACATGCGAGAAGGTACATTCGCGACATGCGAGAAGGCACATTCGCGACATGCGAGAAGGCACATTCGCGACATGCGAGGAAACACATTCAAGAAATTCGTGGAGCCGCCTCCTTTCCCTTCCCCTCTGCTTCTTCCCCCTCTCCCTCGCTATCCCCTCGTCGCCTTCATCGTAGATTCGCGACATGCGAGGTGACATGCTCGTACTGCTTCCCTTCTCTCCCTCACCCCTTCCCTTCCATCTCAATGCTCTCTTCCTCCTTATATCCCTTTGCTTCCGCCCCCCTCTCTACGTTCGCGAAGCTTTGAAGAAAAAACGAAACGTTCGCGAAGCTTTGAAGAAAAACGAAACGTTCGCGAAGCTTTGAAGAAAAACGAAGTTCTAGCGAACCTTGCTCGCCAATGACGCGAAAGAAAGGCCTCTTCGGTTCAGGATCGCGACGTTCAACTAATTATGTCTCCCTCCCGCCTCTCTCCCTCCCGCCTCTCTCCCTCCCGCCTCTCTCCCTCCCGCCTCTCTCCCTCCCGCCTCTCTCCCTCCCGCCTCTCTCCCGCTCGCCTCTCTCCCGCCCCTCTCACTCTCAACCCTCCGCCCCCTCTCCCCGCGGACTCATCAAATTTCCCCCCTTCTCCCCACCCCCTTTGCCCCCTCTCTCCACGTGCAGAAAATTGTGTACGTGGGAGGCAGCTCGAACCGGTTGTTTTCCCTGTGAGGCTGGTACCGAGTCGACTCAACAAGACTCCCTCCTCCCCCAATTCGCCCCTTTGCCCCCTCTCCCCGCGTGCAGAAAATCGTGTACGTGGGAGGCAGCTCGAACCGGTTGGTGTCCCATGGGGTTTCGCAATGAAGGACTGGAAGGCACCCAAGGTGCTGCCTGGCGACAGCCTAGGTACGCATGCTCCTGCGGGTGTGTGTGAGTGTGAGTGTGATGTGTGTTGTGTGGTGTACGAATGATGTGCGAGTGTGTCTGTGTGTATGTGGGTGGCTGTCCCCGTGCCGTTTCGTGATGAAGGACTGGAAGGCACCCAAGTTGCTGCCTGGCGACAGCCTGGGTACGCCCGTGTCCTGATGTGCGTGTGCTGATGTGATGTGCGTGTGCTGATGTGCGTGTGCTGATGTGATGTGCGTGTGGTGATGTGCGTGTCCTGATGTGCGTGTGCTGATGTGATGTGCTGCGCGAGTGTGTGGGTGGCTCCCTCACTGCCTTCCTCTCTGTCTTCCTGCCTGCAGTGTTCCAGTGGTCGGGAGAGGTCCATTTGGTGCACAAAGTATCACACTTCACTTGAGAAGGATGTGTAATACATGTAACTCCCTGCCCCCCGCGTCACGCAGTGTTCCTACCCCTCTGCCCTCCTTGCCCTCCTACCCCTCTGCCTGCAGTGTTCCAGTGGTAGGGCGAGGTGCACAAGGTCAACGCGGCTGAGTAAGCTGCATGCACGTTTGTCAACTCCTTTCCCCCCCTCCCTCCCTCCCTCCCTCCCTCCCTCCCTCCCTCCCTCCCTCCCTGCCCCCCTGCCCCCCTGTCTGCAGTGCTCCAGTGGTCGGGCGAGGTGCACTCGGTGCACAAGGTCAGCGCGGCTGAGTGCGCTGCATGCACGTTTGTCAAGGCGAAGCAGCTCGTGCGCAACCGCAACTACGGGAGCAGCTACTGGTACAAGGCGGTTGGAACGGAAAGGACTGCAGCAACACGACAGACCACTAGCCTGTTTTCGAGGTGCACATGTCATCATAATTTCTCCCCATTCACCTTCCCCCCAACCCCCCCTGTCCCCCCCTGCGCCCGTGCCGTGCCCGCAGTGTTCCAGTGGACGGGCGAGGTGCACTCGGTGCACAAGGTCAACGCGGGCTGAGTATGCTGCACGCACGTTTCTCCACCCCTTACCCTTCCCCCCCATCCTCCTGTCCCTTGACCCCTTACTGCTCCCACACCCTACCCGCAGTGTTCCAGTGGACGGGCGAGGTGCACTCGGTGCACAAGGTCAGCGCGGCTGAGTATGCCGCATGCACGTTTGTCAAGGCGAAGCAGCTCGCACGCAACCGCAACTACGGGAGCTACTGGTACAAGGTGAACTGGAGGGAGTACGGCAAGACCATCTACTTCAGCAGCAAGGCCAACAAGGACTGCAGCCTCGGGATCAAGGTGGCGTTCAGTGTCGGGTCGTAAGAACTTTGAACTTCTGAAAGAGAATGTGTACACGTACTGTAGTGGTTGGCTCTGTGGCTGTCTCCGGTATGGTTGTTGGGGGGGCTGTACGATATGTATGAGCGCATGGTTTGAATTTCTTTTGGTTCGGTTGATTTATTTTGATTTGGGAAGGGACACGACGTCTTGACTCAGGTCATTACCCATGCATTTCTTGGATAACTCTGACCGGGCGGGCAGAACAATCTGCAAGCCGAATCAGGGGATTTCATTTGCGGTGTCTCTCTCCCCCTTTTCTTCCTGTTGATTTGAATCTTACTGTGCTTTGGAAATGCGTCTAACATGAAGGCTACGTTCCACTTTCTGCCTTTGCGTGCGTTCCTCTTTCTTCGTAGGAAATAAAAAATGCGATTCATTGCTCCATCAAATACCAGAGAATAGAACAATGCGTAACGCAAGACCAGGCACAATGAAGGGTAAGACAAGTCGAGATGAAAAGGTTGTTTGAACAACTATGTCAACAAGAATCAGAAAGACCATCATTCTCAACTCAGACCTAGCAGTACAGTACTTGAAAATTGAGGTAACTGTACACACTGGAGCCAGGTGAAGGGCAAACTTGTTTTCCTTACGTTGCATACTACATCAGCAGATGTAGTGAACTTATTGAGAATGTAATGACAGTTCCCGCTGGTGTAGTTATAAGGTCAGGTCCAAGTTATGCTAGTACAGTACCGAGTCAATGTTAGGACGATCACCACAGCCGCGCTCACGGGTCTTTCTTGTCCCTTGTTGTGACATTTTCTGGCGGCGCAGAACTTTCCACCCCGAACACTTGGGGAGATGCGTGAACAGACTGGCAATGTAACTGTAATTTTTCGGGCAGCCACTGCCGCCTTGAAGGGCGAATTGGCGCCCTTTTTTTCTCCAGTGCGAGCGGAAGAATTGGTTATGACCAACCACCAAGGTCAGTGTCTGCCCGACATTCTCGTGGAGCTTGTTCATTTGCATTGGCATTCCGCTCCGCACAAACAAAGCTGCGACCATGTACGTAGCTCAGAGATCGCTCGTGTTCTGTGCGGTTCATTCAGGTTCACAAACTCCGTGATGGCCCAACAACTCAGTGAAATCCCAGAAACAGCAGCAACGCCTCGTTTACCTACCTCATCCCTCTGCACCGCAATTCACCGCAAGCTTCCAAATCCCGATTCCCGAACTCCATGTTCTCCCCGTCTTGTCCTCCCACCGACCAAGCTCCAACAATCCTACCTTCTCCCCTCAAGGAACATGTGTACATATTTTGTGCCCCCTTTACTCAACATCATAGCCCGCAATAATCCCCTTTCTGTTTCCGCTCACGGACTAGCATCCGCCTGAACAATTCCCCTTCGAGCCCAGTACCGTCCATCCCAGCTGTCACAATCATGGCGCGCGCAACCAATCATCTGCGGCTCCTCCTTGCCGCACTCGTCCTCCTCGTTGGTACGTGCTTCCACTCATCTCGTGCGATCGGTACGTGATTCTGGGGACCGCCCGTGCTGTTCTACTTATCGATGTGCTCTCCCTCTCGAGGCGCCATCGCGTCCTACTCCTTCTCACGCTTTGAAACTCCGCCTTACCCTTTTACTATACTCAGTCCTACCAGCTTTCGAAGTCAGTCCTACCGCGCTCAAACGCGGCATGTACCACTGCTTCCGTCTGCTCCGCTTTCTCTCCACATTCCTCCACACACCGTACTACGGCGAATGTCTAACGCACGTCGCATCTACTCGCAAGGCTCCTTCTCCCTCCCCAAATCGTCCCATTCCCTCACGTTTCTCAATCCGACTCGCGCCCATACCATGTTACTCTCCGCTGGTTTCTGAGAATTTTCAAAATCCAGCTTCTCGCTCCCCAGATAGTCCCTTTCCTCACGTTCCTCAGTTCGCCTAGCGCTCATGTTTTCCTCTTTTCTCACCCGCGACCTTCTCCTCCTCCCCCCCTTCACTCCTCCGGCGACGCCCTACCCCTCCCCCTTCCGCAATCTCCGATGTGCGCCCCGTGCCCGCGGCCGCCGATGTCCGCCTCTCCGGCGACGATGATCAACGGTCACCGCCATTCGCCCGCTCGCTCCTTCTCAGGCAGCGCCGAGGCGCAGGTAGGGCTGCGAGAAACATTCGCCAAGTTCGAGAAACCACGTTCGCATATTCATAGAAGCACTTCCGTCTCTCCCCACCCCCATCTCCTCATCTCCCGCACCCTTCCCCTCCTCCCCTTCCTCTCGTAAGTGAGACATGCTCGTTCTGCTTCCCTTCTCTCCCTCACACCCCTCCTGTTCCCTCCGAGGGAGTCCCTCCTCCCTCCCTCCCGTTCTTGCTCCTTCCCCTCCGTCCTCGCTATCACGCTCATCTCCCTCCCCCCCTCCTCTCTCTCCCTTTCCTCTCCCCGCGTGCAGGAATTGGTGTTCGTGGGGAGCAACAACGGCACGTGGCTGTCCCCGTGCTGCTACCTTAGGAGTTGACTCAAGAACTCCCCCGAACTTATGTGCGGCTCTGCCCCCGCCCCTCTATTCCTCTCCCCTTGTGCAGAAAGTGGTGTATGTGGGGGGCAATAACGGCCGGTGGCTGTCACCATGGGGCTTTGCGGTGAAGGACTGGAAGGCGCCCAAGGTGCTGCCTGGCGACCTGCTAGGTACGTCCGTGTCCGAGTTGGGTGCTGCTGCTGCTGCTGCCAGCTTGGTACTACCGCCCAAGTGCAGCAATTGACAATGGTGTGTTTTCGAGTGGGCGGGGAGCGGTAACGCTGTCAGGAAGGAATTTTGATTGCAAGATTTACAACCCAGGTCTGATCTTGGACACCGGGCCTGATCTGGCACACCGGGCCTGATCTGGCACAGCCGGGCCTGATCTGGCACCACCGGGCCTGATCTGGCACACCGGGCCTGATCTGGCACACCGGGCCTGATCTGGCACACCGGGCCTGATCTGGCACACCGGGCCTGATCTGGCACACCGGGCCCTGATCTGGCACACCGGGCCTGATCTGGCACACCGGGCCTGATCTGGCACACAGTGAAAACACCGGGCCTGATCTGGCAACACCGGGCCTGATCTGGCACACCGGGCCCTGATCTGGCACACCGGGCCTGATCTGGACACACCGGGGCCTGATCTGGCACACCGGCCTGACCTCTGCCCCACCTCCTCGGGCTGCTCTAGCACACCGGGCCTGATCTGGAAGCACAGCACACCACAACCACCAACTCTGGTCTTTGAGTTTTTAGGGTTAAGTAATGAATTGTGGCTCAAGGGCTGAGGCTCACCAGCTGGCGCAGGGCAGAGTGCAGAGCAGGTAGTGCAGAGTGAATCACATCTACAAGGTGGCGCCAGGGCACTACGGCATGTTCGGCAAGATGACAGACAGAGCTCTCGAGTGTAGATATTGATCCCAGAATGACAGCTACCGTCTCCTGCCCTTGATATCTCCCTCCCTCCGCTCTCCGTTACCTGTAGTGTTTCCAATGGGTGGGCGAGGTACACTCGGTGCACAAGGTTGACGTGGCGGATTACACTGCATGCACGTTCCTCAACGCGAAGCAGCTCGCACGCAGCCGCAACTACGGAAAGTACATCTACAAGGTGGTGCCAAAGATTACGGCAATACCATTTATTTCAGCAGCAAAGCCAACAGTGACTGTAGCGACGGGATCAGGCGTCATTTGTTGTTGGATCGTAACATTTTTGTTTGAATAATGTGTACAGTCACCGTAGAGGTTGTATCATTAAGTGTACTTGCCAGCAGTGAGCTGTATTATAAGGGAAGCTGTACCATATGAATGAGCACGTGAGTTTGTTGGGAGAATGTATGCCGTATATGAACCACCATCTCATAACCCTAGACCGCCATCCAGACCTAATATGGATGTAGGACATAGCTGTCCTGATGTAGGATTTAATTCTGGAGTTGACAGACATGTTGGAAACAAGTAACTTAAGCGCCTCTGTCGTGTCGAAACACCAAGTCAGAAGCGAAGCGAAACATATCGAAACATTGGCGAGTCAACCCTCGGAGGTTGAACCAGTTGCTGGATGTTACGCGAAAGTCAAAGGTCAGCGACCTTTGACCTGACAAGTACAGCGCGACAGCAAGGACAAACTGTCATAATAGTAGCCTTACGGTCATTGGGCTGAGAAAAAGCCCTTAGCATCTTTGTAGGGGTGAACTCTGAGTAGGACTGATGTAGTAGTAGCGGAAGCGTTTAATGAAGAGTTGTGAACCACCTTGCGCTAGTACAGGCCCTCAGATTGGTTTGAGGGTATGCTGATGGATCAGCGTGCCCCTGCCAACCAGGTGTCCAAATCAGCGGTGGTGGTTTTCTTTATACTGATACTGTCAGTGTAATTTTTTGTCCTAAACTGAACCTGCAGTGTAAAAAAAACCAAAAAGCAGAGCTGATGCAACAGTGCATGGATGCGCCCAAAGTTACCATTGTGACAAACAGCAGCACCAATACCGCATGCTGGCTGAATCTACCACTAACAAACTAGCTCATGTCATGTCTTCATCAGAAGAAACGCTCGCATCATCACCACTGCTACTGGCATCGTCAACACTCTCACTACCATCGCCTGCAGAACCACACATGCCCTCGTTTAGGTCCTCCTCCTCCAACCACCCCGGCAGCCACTCCCCTTAACAAACTTGGCCTTGGCTCGCTCCTTCTCTGGCGCAGCTTGCTCCTTGCACTTGCTGGGGCGCCTTTTTCCTGGTGCTCCGCCAGATGTCCAGCACCTTATCCCACTCCATGTCGTAGTTGAGCAGACTCATTGCCAGCAAATCTCCCAGCTTGGCGTTGCAGAGACTCGTTCGGCGCCACGACTTGATCACATTCTGGCCGGAGAAAATCCACGCTCGCACTCGACTGTGCTGAGAGGCAGAACAGCGACCGCAACCCATAGACGGACTAAGTTGGGGTAGCTGGTCTGCCAGTCGTTGGTCTGCAAGATGGCCTTCAAACCTGTGTGAAAGGGCTGCTCTTCCTT